TTATTGTAAAACCGCTATTCCCCTGAGAAATAAAATAAAATTTTGCCTATTTGTAAAGATGTAATTGCTCGCAGAGAAGCAAATTTTTTACCTCAATAGTTTTTACACTACTTTTGTTTCTAATCTATGTCTAAACTTAAAAACGAATCGTGTCGATTGCAAAATGTCAACATTTACCCGCAGAGTTCAATCTTTGATCAAAAAACAAATAAACATGTGATTGTCTATATTAGGAAATGTATTTTCCTTGATAGATATGCAGATCTGAGTCGAAAACAATCGATTTTGTCGTTGGGCAATTATTCATCATGAATCCGACGAAAGGACGTACCTTTATTTCAACGTAGCTATACAGTTATACTGGAAAATTGTTTTTTTACAATAAGACTGTCGAACGTATGGACGCATTTAAATCAAAAGGAACAATATCAATTCCCACATGTGCCCTGAGATTCATAAGAGCACATTCGTGACGGGGCTCATGCCAAAATGAATATAGTTCAGTTTGATTTAAATGCGGGAAAAACGCCGTATGAACGTAGGAGAGTTGCCAGATATTTCCCGATAAAATTTTTGTAAAACATTTTACGCAGTGCTTCATTTCATACCTTGTTAAGTGACCCATTGGTTTAGCAATCATAACCTAATTTATAAAGAGTCGCCCAGAAAAGGGCTTACAACGAAAATATAAGTTATAACTAGGCGAATTTTATTTGATCTTTCATTCTTTAAGTTGCTCATCAACCGCCATCAGGCGAAAGATACCGTTGACGTCTGAATCTAACCTTTCCCTCACTCGATTACTTGGCTTAGATTGTCAGTGCGAGGTCTCAAAAATATTCTGTCTGTTAGTGCATCTCTCCAAGCTATGAGACCAGTAGACGAGGTGCAAATCCAGGCATTCTGATACATGTTTTTGAACCGAGATTTTACCTAGAATACGATTCTTGCAACCAAAATTATTGACGTTAACTCCTAATGAAAATATTTAATTTTCCTTGACGAACGAATTCAAACTTCCTGCTCATCATGAGAAAACAAAGTCTACGTGAGTCAAATCGCGCATTAAAAGTTCCCGTAACAATTGCTGCAGTAAAGCTCAATTGCAGTACTTCGGCTCAGCTGTTGCACTTTTTTAACACTTCAAACAACACATGCAGTGTTTACTCTAAGATATATGCTGCCGTGCTAAGGAAGAATATCCATGGAATTCTCATTTTTGACGAAAGTGATATATATATTTTTTTCCTCAAAATTTTCAGATATTTTTGATAATTTTACGAACACAACTGTCTAAAAATTTTGAAGAAAAAGATTTACAATTTCGCCGGTAAATTCGGTTCTTATCGAGGGGAAGTCGGCAACGCCTAAAGGTTCATCCGGCGTTCTTCCTTAGCAAGGCAGTATGTATAATTTATTAATATGCTACAATGCTTATCATGTCTACTAGCCCATTTAACTTTTCCCTCACTCGACTATTTTGCTTAAATGGAGGTGTTGCATGTGTGAGGGATTTGCGATTTGACAATTGATTCGTATGTAAAAGTTCGCGAAAAACATGGTGGTGCCACTGGTTTTCTCTGAAATCAACTCCCAAGCTCAAAAAAAGCTCTCAAATTGAGGCCAAAATGGAGGGGATATCCCACGCTATCCTGAGAGTCCACCTCTACATCAAGACAAACTCCCCATGCAAAAATAGGGAGCAATAATACATTAGCAGGGATGCCGTGTTCTCAGTTTTTGAGTCCCCAAATAAAGTGGCAGCCTTGTCATTAATGCATTTGCTCCCTATCTTTGCATGGAGAGTTTGTATTGATGTAGAGGTGGACTCTCAGCTCAGGATAGCGTGGGATATCCCCTCCATTTTGGCCACAACTTGAGAGCTTTTTTTTGGGCTTGGGAGTTGATTTCAGAGAAAACCAGTGGCACCATCGTGTTTCTCGCAAAATTTTACATAAGAATCCATAGTTAAATCGCAAATTCCTCACACATGCAACATCTCCATTGTTAGTGGGGGTTTCAAAAACATACTGTTTGGTACATCTCTCCGGGCCAATTGTTTATTTGCCCGATGTCAAAGTTGGGACGTGCGCAAACAGAGTGGAACGAAGCGAGTCGGCGTGTGCGCATGCTCGGTGCCATGGACCTGGATCAGCTCCCCGCAGAAAACCGGAAGAGGTCTCTTCGGTGAAGATAAGTGATTTCCGCTCGATAATTTTATCACTTCTTAAATTGGGTTCGTCACCTACTGAAGCCCTGCACTTGCGGCATGCATCTTCGCTTCGTGTGCGTTACCAGCCGCATCGGACAGCGTTGCCACGATGTGAGTTTGAAATTAATCGTTTCCAAAGCAGGCAACATAAACGATGCGGCGCGGCCGTACCTAGAGGTAGATAGATGAGATACGCTGTTATGCAGCGATTTGCAGTCAACTCTACTACCATTACAGCTGCACTTATACATAACTGGACATGGGAAAATGTGCTCAACCGTAGTTTCCCAAAAAGGGCATTTCGTCACCTGCCCGCCAAAGTATCACAAGCGCCATGTGACGTTTCGAAATTTTATTTTTTTACAAAGAAATTGTTGATTGAATATGTTTGAAAATTTCACTGAATTTTATCGGCAGCCCAAAGAAAATTCAGTGAAATTTTCGGACAGTTACGGTGAACGATTTCTCTGTAAAAAAATAAAATGACGGCGGAAAGTTTTAATCGTCGCGTGGCGCTTGTGATACTCTCGCCAGAAAGTGACGATTTACGCCATGAGCCCCTTTTCCTGAAATAGTCAATGCATCCTGACTTAGCCCCAAAAAGCTTGGTCTTTTGGCTCAAAAAGTTGATTAATTAAGCTGAAACTCGGGGCATAAATGCATTTAAGATACTAATAATCCATTTATGAAATTTCTGAAAAAAGGGCATAATACGCACATGTGCCTGTTTTCCGGAAATCTTCTTAATTCCAGATTTCCAAGGCGTTCCAGACCAAGAGCCATCCCGCTTAGGATACATTTTGCCCGGCTCTGTAACATTTTTTTACGTTTGAAAGTCCTTCGGGAACGGTAAATTTGGACATATTTGTGCTAAAAGGGACTGTGTGCATAGGGTTTGCGTGTAATATAGTTCCTTTTAGCATAAATACGTTCATTTGAGCTATTCGGTGGCTGGTAGGAATCAGTTCGAGGCGAGAAAATAACGAATTCCGGGCAGGAAACCACCTATTTCCAAGTCTGCTGCCGATGACTGGAATATAGGTGAGCCATGCTCAATCGGTTACTGACCACGACCGACCAGGTCACCCGAGCGCTGTACGTGCCACCGCGCTCCGGGGAAATGGGAATTCTGACCGTCGGTGTCGGGCCGTTAATCAAATTGCTCGAAAACTGAGGCGGTCCATTCGAATGCGGTCCAGGTTTGTTTCCTTCGCTTTGTATAATTGGATCATGCTTCCTCATCCCCACTCCACCGTTGCGTTCGTCACTGTTGTCATTGTAGATTCATTTCCAAGTTGGACACTGTTAGACATCTCGGAGTGTATTTCACTCCGAAGCCTGACACCTCCCCCCTGGAAAAACTCGAATGATTCTCAACAGGAGTGAAATCCACTTCATGAGTACGGAATGAGTCTGTTGCGCAAAACTCAACTGCTGCGCTGCAACTCAACAATGATGATAACGCCTTGACGCAACAATTCGTCCTCGTAGGATGCGCGGGCTGCATATACACAAAATTGAAGGCACTTCAACATTTCTCGCCATTATTCCGCCGCTATGAAAACTTTGTTACGAGAAAAATTAGGTTCATTGTCACAAGGGAACAGCTTTCTTGGCGGTTTCTGTTTCAGGTTGCGCTGTGAGGAATCTGTTGTTACAAGACGGCAATGGGTCGATCTGTTGCGCGCAAGAGACGCAACTAACAAAAAGTGAACTTGTTTTTGTTGGTAATATTGCACAAAAATCACGATGGACACATAAAAAAAGTCTGAAGAACAATATGCACATTTGGTAACACGTGCTATTTCAAATTTTTCACAATAACGGGCAGTTTTTCTTAGACGCCGACGATCAGATTTGCCAAAAAATAAAAGTAAGAACAAGAATACGATCTCGCAAACTTTTTTCACGTATTATTTCAGTCGCTTTCAAATGTTTGTTCCTGCTTATTTCTTTGTTGTGCAAAAATAGAAGCTTTAAGTTGACCCAAATCATACGTTAGGAAAGTTTGTGACAGTTGGCAAGATTATTTTTTTATTTAGGATAAGTTTCCTCGCATCTTTTTCTGAAGAAACCTGAACGCCGGTCTTTGAAAAAAACTGCTCAGAGACTTTAGCAAATCCAAAAAAAGGTGTTAAAAAGGCGCAGATTGTGCGCTATGGAATTGATTTCGAACTTGTTTTAATGTGTCCATCTTGATTGTCATGCAATTTAACCTTTAGAGATTGAAATCTTATCGCTGCATCTCTTGAATGCTTGCTAGGGGCTCATTGAAACCCAATCCATCCTTGAATGTTAGATCAATTTTTAAAAGGCTCCATGCAGATAGTGCCGTATGTGTTATCACTAACGATCCTTGAAATTTGGCGAATTTGGGCTTTGCGCATTTAAATACATGAGAAATAATCGAAATTTATCAATTCTAGTCTGCATCTTGTTAAATAGATTATATGATCAGAGTTAACTTGAGGAAAAACAGTTTCATCATCTTTGCGAGAATCGCTACTGAGCTTAATTACGTCCAACTATAAACCAATTAGATTCTAACGAGCAATTTTCTTGTTTATATCTCTTGAGGGTCATTATTTTAAGCTGAAAATTAATGAGTTTCCTTAGAGCCCTTCCTAGCATCATCGAAAAAAATTCCTTATACATTACAAAAAACAAAAGAACCGACGAGACAGAAAAAACTCTTGGTCACTGACTGGGTTCCGAAAGAGCACTCGTGATAGAGCAAAGAGGGAGAAAATTAATCAAGACCGAAGAAAAAAATGAAAAATGGACTCACCAGACTTGCAACGGCAAGGATCGTGTTTATCCAAGTAGTGAGACAGAGTGTCCCAGCCCCCGCCAACACGCACCATGACGTGACTCCTGAGGACCTGCAAACATATTAATCCAAAACACGTCAGTCTCACGAAAACTAATGACGTCCAGCTTGGCTCCAAAGCCACAAATTAAATACAAAAATCACTTAATTTCGTGGATCTGAGCGTTACATTACCGCGCTGTGGAAGAACGCCATGTGGACATAGAAATGTTGCTAAATTTTCTACGATAAAATAAAGGCACCCTGATCTGTTAAGAACGACTGTTAAAAAACTCTTACATTTCAAAAAGGCAACTCTTATAAAAAAATTTAAAGTGTTCGTTTTAGGAAACCCTTTTAGGGTATTTTTTAAAGTAAAATTTACGAGCGGTAAAATTTAAGTAAAAAGGTATTATAAAAAAACTCTTTTAATAGCATATGTAGTTTTTCAACACTAACAATGTTTGAAAAAATATTAAAAAACTACAATGATATTTTAAAGAGTTTTGACACCTTTTTCATTAATTTTTACTTATTGTAAATTTCACTGGAAAAAACTAGCCAAACAGGATTTCCTTAAAAGAGCATTTAAACAGTCTTTGTCTTGAGGGTTTTTGGGAAATGATAATTTTTTAATAATTTGATACAATTAAATTAATAAGATAAAAATTACTATTTGCCAAGTAGGAGCTTTTTTGCGGCATACTTCCAATTTCCAAAATCCAATCATTTTGAAGGCCAAAAAGGTCTTCGCGGACAGCTGTCCCATGAAGATGAAATAGAACACTTAACGAGCAAAATTCTCCCAAAAAATTAGGAAAAACTTAGAAACTTTAAAAAAAATTGTATCTTTTGGACAAAATTTGGCAACGTTCAAGTGCTCATACAGCGTTTTTCCTCAACTAGTCGGTGAAAACCACGGGTTTCGACCCCGATCTGAAAACGGCGGCCGGGCTTTGTTTTTGAGATGACTTCGATGACTTGCAGCTTCTGATGGTCCTCGGGCGCCCAGTTCAAGGTTCCTCGTCCTGGTACAGAACCGCGTAAGTCCGTGCGAAGTCTCTACGCATGTACGTGGTTTGGTATCCCGGCAATGTTGATCTCGGGTTCGCGTGTTCAACGCGGTCAGCCAGAACGCGGAACCTTTTATTTTGTGCCCGAACTGCGAATGGGGCTATCACGAGCGTCGATTGGCGCCGTGTCCTGATTTTTCGATGTTTTTTTGGGGTCTCCGTGATTCTGAGTTTTTCCGTCATATTTTTTTTTTCGCACATCAGATTTCGTTGATAATCACTCGATGGCTCGACTTTAAAACTGCAAATGTCGATTTCAAAGTTTTTACGTATCCTTGAATTTTAAGAGGAAAACAAAGTTACATTTAAAAATTAGGAAAAAATAAATGTGTTTCATTTCAGAAACATACGCCCGATTAGTTCCTCTATGCAAATACAGATAACTGCTTCGTAATCGTGGCTCTCAACTGAAAAATATAGTCCAAATCTAAATTTCTCTAATTTTTCAGTATCGCTTTAGGGTCTTTGACTAAGAGGTCAATTCCTGATGTTGGTTGGCTTTTCCTCAAAAATATTTATCCAAAATTTCGTGGTTTTTGGGTTTAGTCATCTTACTTTTTATGATTGAAATCATACAATTCTATTTCGCTTTGGGCTAAGAGTACCTGCCATCAGATATACGCCTTGAGAACGCTCTTTTTAGTGCCGAACACATTGTTCCCAAAAAACTTAGATCTCATTGTTGGACATAACCCTTCCAAGAGTGTTCCACTTGGTTTTCAGCTTAAGGATGATAACATGGGGCTCATGACACAATTTTAGTGAAGTTTAGATTATATTACTTACTCGGACGAAGATTAAAACTTTCGTATCTCCTATGCGGTATTTTCCCTCTGAAACTCTGATCATCGGGAACTGAGTAGGGCAGCGACATTTCTCCACTTGCTCTCGAACCTGAAACACAAAACAAACACGATGCATTAAGACACCAGTTACTGTAAAAAAGAGGGAGCAAAAAAACAAATTTTCTGACTAAACTTTCTCCTCTGTTATGATTGATTTTTAAGATAAACAAACGCATCAAAATTCTGCAAAACGACGAATGATTCGGAAGCTGGTAAATTGCGCCGATTCCCAAAGAAGCTGATTGTTAATTGCGCTTATTTCGAAAAGAGCACGAAAATTGCGCCGATTCTGCCGTATTTTGCAGTTTTTCAGAAGGACCTGCCAACGCTGTTTATCAATGCAGCAGACAAGCAGGTACGCTTGCATTTAAAGTTTCTTTTCAAATCACTTTACCAGTGTTGTCAAACTATCAATATTTTTAAAATTCACTAAGAATTGTCTTAGACGTAATCGGCGCAATTTTCTTTTCCGAAGTTTTCAGGATTGGCGCAGTTTGGAATTATCGTTGCAGGGAATCGGCGCAATTTACCGACTCCCGAATAATTCCTTTTCTATCGGTAGCGCATCTTCAGAACCAAACTCGCGAAGAAAAGTCCACACCCTACACGTGAATGATGCGGTACACATACGAAAAATAAATGGCTCCGTCGGTTAAACTGACATGATAAAGGAGGTAGCAACCGACGAGTAGGGCGGGTGAAAAACAACGGAAGATTTAAGTTAGCAAACACTCCGGTCTGAGGAATACGTTAATGCTCGAGGTTATTTTTCAACTCTCATGGTTGGGAAATGTATGATATGCTATTCAGTTGAGATGCATTTCCACGAATGGGATCATAGATTTACTTCCTGCAATCTGGTAGAACACGCTTGCCGACAGGAAAAGTTAATCTGTGAAATGATTCTTCTATCTGGATCACTGACCTTTCCCCATACTGTCATCGACCTCATCGTTCAAGTTGAGTCACGCGCAGTGGCGTGGCGTGCTTTGCGATATATCGATTGTTGGGCCATTTAAACCTATGGAAAAGGATCGATAGTCAGGGTGTTCGCAGCGAACACCTTAGTAATCGATTCTTTACCATAGGTTTAAATGGCAGAACAATCGATGTATCGCAAAGCACGCCACGCCACTGGTCACGAGCTTTTATGTCTTCCGAGGTCGGTTCGAAGCAAACGTCTGGTATAGAGGAAACACGTTCCTATAATAGTGTGCTGTTCCAAACCCTTCATTTTTATTTAACTTTTTTATACGTTGATAGTTGGATCACATTTAACAGAAGGGAACCTTCGCGAGTTTTAGGGAAAATTGAAAAAAAATGATTCATTTAAACCGAAATTTTGGATTTAAATTGAGGATGAAGAATATTTGGATTTCGTAACTGAGAGGAAATGGACCGCGTCAGGCAAAAAAGATCCAGGATACATCAGCCATTTTCAAATTTAATTTTTACAAAGTTTAAGTTTTAAAATTTTAAAGTTTTACATGAAAACGGTCGTGCGGTTTTTTGTGCAAATTTCAGTAATTTTCTGCATTGTACGAAGCGAATCCCTTAAAATTCTCAGATAAATCCGTTCAAACGCTCTCTCGTGGAAAAGTGAACTATCCAGTTAAATGCAATAGCCGATGTGGCTTGGTTCCTTTCTGCTAAACGCGATCCAAATATCATGGTACGTTTGAGTTAAAAGTGATGCGGAGTATTTGCCAAAACAGTGATACCACTATTCGTGTTTCCCAGTCGGGCGTTTAGCATAATTGGCAGATTTAAGGCACTTTTTCGCGATCGAAACCACTCTCCGCTTAGTTGAGAACGGAATTGGCAAATTGGCAACAATGTTTTTCTCCATTTAAACCCATGGAAATGTATCGATTCTTGGAGGAGGCAGGTGCTCCGACAAGAATCGATTATTTGACACAGGTTTAAATGGAGGGAGTCCGGTGTTGCCAAATTGCTGGATCCGCCTCTGCACTGAAGGGATCTATCTCGAGTTGGTTCTTCTCTGTTAAATAAGCTGCAATTTTAGGATATGAAAAAGTGTCGAGATAATCAAGATTCGTTACTTTTTTTTTTTTTATTTATTTTATTTTTTTTCCGAAATTTCACTTTTGGTGGATACCCCTTTCTTCGCATAATCAATTTTGTTTCCGCTACATTTTCACTCAAAAACGGCACTGGTCTGAATAAGTATGACAGTATTATTGTATTGCAGTCACAACGCCGGAAGATTTAAATGTTTTTAGAAGTTCGAACCCCAAATGAAATATTAAACTCAAAATCTTAGCTGAGAACACTTTCGAGTAATATCCCTCGTATTAACATTATTTATTTCGCGCGGCAAGACAGTTACGAAGAAACTTTTCTATTTACGAGAGGTGGATTTGCTTTAACTCGAAAGGATTGAACTAGTTTCGGAATATTTATCCGTGAACTTCGACCTTTTCGCAATAATTCATAGCTCGAGGAGACACAATGAGAGGAAGTTCCATGATTCAGTAAGACGGAATATACCGGAATGAAATTGGTGAAAACGAAAGGAACGAACGAGAAAAATGACGCGCGGAGCGGGGAACGGACGACAAAGTGCAGTTTAAATGAATTACTGGGCACAGCGTGACGGTTCCATTTGCCAGATGGACAGGATATTAATTGAAATATGACGGGCAAAATTTTCGCGGGACAAGAATTTCGTCAATTCGAATAAAAAATCACGAGTTTTTTTTTTTTTTTTTTACGGGAAAGTGCTTACAGAATACTTTTCATTAACTTTAGCAACAAAAAGTGGCTAAAAGGTTGCAGTCCTATTCTGCCGTGCTAAGGAAAAACGCCGTACGAGCCTTCACACTGAAAGAAAAATCTCGCTATATTTACTAAGAAAAGGGTAAAATTACCAAGAATTCAGGGTTTTATTTGATCCCAGTTTTTTCTCAGTAAAATTACCATTAAGGGAATAGGTAATTTTACCCAGAAATCTCGGTAAAATTATTGAACTCTCTCGGTAATTTTACTGGACCTTGGTCAAATCGCCAATATTTTTTATCGACTGTGGTAGAATTACCGAGATAAAATGGCAAAGTTACCGGGAATTGATTACCCATAAAAGTGGTATTCTTACCTGAAAAAAAAACAATAAAAATACCGGTTTTTAGGTAAGCTTACCAGTCTGTCTCGGTAAAATTACCAACAATTGGTAAAAAAAGTGAGATGGTAAAGGTACCAACAGACCTTGGTATAAACGCCGAGAATTTTTTTTCAGTGCAGTCGTTGCCAAGTTTCCTCCGATAAAAACCGAATTCACTGAGGAAATTTGGAATATTTTTCCTCGAATTTTTCGGTCAATTTTGTTCACGATTTATTACGAAATATCTGAAAATTTCAAGGGAAAATATGCATAACTTTCCTCTAAAAAACATTTCTTATTCGGAGAAATTTGGCGACTCTCGAATGCTCATACGGCGTTTTTCCTTAGCACGGCAGTATTGGACAATTTTGAGCCTCGATCTTGATGAAAACCTGATACACACTGAAAAAAGAAGTTACGGGCTATATAGACATACTATCCGTTCCGAGCTTAGAGGTCGAAAGTTCCGGGTGCTGGAGCCGTAGCTTCGATTGCTCCGGGTGGTACGCCCGGAACTTTCGATCTCTGAGCCCGGAACGCGAACAGTATACCTATATAGCCCGTAAGTACGGCTTCCACAGTCAGAGTTTCTTCCCGGTGCATTGAGAAGAATGTTCCCGATAGTATGCCACAACAGGGATTCTCAGAGAATCGACCGGACATTCCTTTAAAGCAACAACACTTATTTATTTAAATTAAAGTTCAAAAACTATTCTACTACTACTACTACTACTACTACTTCTATTAATTAAGTTCAAAACCGCTGATGCCGCAAGCTCAAAAAATCGCGTCGAACAGAGTGCGGCCAGCGCGGAGCGCATAACGGCGCCTTACAAGACCGTAGGATACTTCGTGCATTGCGCGTGCAGCACGGGACGCTCAGCGCAGAGTAGCGCCTTACAAGTCTGCAGGATACTTCATGCATTGCGCTTATACCACGGTGCGTGCTCAAGGCGTCGAAAAGTCGTATTTTCTTGGTGTCGAACCTACTTCCGTACTACACGATTCCGAAAAGCGCACACCGCTAGATTGCAATCCTAGTATTCCTAGATTCACAGGAGTGTAGAGATTTTGGAAATCTGTATGTTTGTGAGATTATAATTTACGAGTGAAAATGTTTCAAGTTGGAGTGCTGTTACGTTCTATCGTCCGGAAAACGCCGAACTTAACTAACCTTCAGGAAGGAAAATTTTTGCAAGATGACTCGGGTACACCTATGGCTAATACCGAAAAATTATGGGGGGGGGGGGCAACCTCGTCACCGCGATGGGCTGGTCTGTTGGTTATTTCCCGAGCTTCTTTAAATTGACCGGAATGAGGGTTGAGAGTTTCCTGTCGATCCAAAAAGAGATTTCAGTATCGCACACTTAACAGCAATCCTGTAGATCTAACAGGGAATTATTCTTTGAGTATAATTTCTGATCAATACTAAGTCTTTGTCCAACATCATAAGAGGTTCTGTGCCTCTCACAAGGTTTTCACTTTCTGTCAAAGTTAGTTTTAATGATCTACCAGACCGATATTCATGATTTTTGCGGCAAGCGGCAGAATCTCAGAAACGTCTGATTAACGGGTTTTGTGTCTTGACTACCAATGCGTGATATTCTGACTGCCATAACTGAGCATTTTTCCGCACAAGTTTGCAACTTAGTGACGATCGCGCGACACGAAAACCGCACAGAATCGAGAAAACTTCCACCGAGCTGCTTTGATTTCCGCCTTGCTTGACAATGGCAGTCGTAGTAATACACAGTTATGAACAAAACGCGAAAATGAGACGAAACCGTTGCACGCTCCTATGTTGCCATTTTCTCGAGATCTCCCCTCGTGAGTAAAGAAAACCCCTCAAAACTGGCAAGACTGGTACATTCAACCGGCGGCCAGCACGCGTGAAAATAGTAGTATTGTCGATCCGAGGCTGATTGTTA